GTATTCTCAATATATATGCTGCCACTTGGTAATATTATAAGATAACATGGAATTAGTTTCCACTGTTATGCTGATGACACTCAATCATATATTTTATCACAACCATATGAAAACTAACTTGGAGCTTAACGAAATGGAGGCAGATTTGAATGCGATTCTCATCGGATCTGGCTGCACCCTTTCGCCATTGCACGTGACCGAATTAGAAGAGAGGTCGTTTTGATGGGGGAGGAAAGGGTAATGTATTTGATTAAAGATTTTAAGTGTACATGAATTTTAAAACAAATAATGAAGTGCACAGATAAATCATTTATAATAAACACTACAGTATTACATACAAAAAGAAGATTTGTCAAATTTGATTTCATGCCGACTTTAAAGGATCTACAGTTAACAAGAGGTTTATTGGTTATGGTTGTGGTTTGGATGCCATAACTTAATCTACTTGGCCTTTGCCAGAAATCCTCTATTAATAAGAAATGTATCGTTTTACAAAGCCCCTGGGGTGTTAAAAGAAGAGTCGTTCACTTAATACTTCCTTTCAGTGCTGGAAGCAGTTTTTGTGCTCTTCCCTAAACCCCTAATCCTTCTGCCGCCACAACTAACGCCTTGGGAAAAAACCATCAACACAGGCTAAATAGAGATGTTATACAGTGTGACATTTCCCAGGTGCAGGATGGATGGAGAAGACAAGCCTTCTTTTTCCCCCTGGGCATTTAAATGTTGCGTACATCGATGATGCGTGACATTAAGTCAAAAAAGGGTTGTTCACTAGGTTGTTCAAAAATGGGAACAAATTGCATGCTACCATGATCGGCTGACTCCACTGGTGGTTAGCACTCGGCCTGCGGCTTCCCAGGGTTCAAGGCAGCTTAGGGATCTGGTGTGGAGCGGTTTGCATGGTGCTGTGTAGTTAGGCCCCTTGCCAGGCCATTCTGCTGGAATTTCCTGTCTGAATCGACTCCCTCCTCGTTCCTGGAGCGAGACAGAAAAGCCTTTTTAATTACACCGCTGCTGCCTGGCCTCTCAGGATATTATTATTGTTCTTGAGTGCTTCCTCTAAAGATGAGCTACTCTCAGTACAAAGCCGCCTGTCTCTCGGCTCCGTTCGGACATGAAAAGTGAATGTTTTTCTTCTACTTTTGGTACCCGTTGATAATGTCTACCACCTGCTATTGTCTTAAAAAGGATATATATAAAAAAAAAGCTAATCCTGCTACAGAAGGTGGATACCTCACCAGGTCCTGAGAGGATGTTTTGTACATTTTAAAAAATTATAATTGGGGACTGAAACAATGCTACTTTTTGTAACCTAAACCGTTAAAAAAATTAGAGTATGAATAAAAAAAATCATTATATATTAGGGCTGTCAAACGATTAATCGTGATTAATCGCATCCAAAAAAAAAGTTTGTGTTTACATAATATATGTGGGTGCACTGTGTATAATTATTTTGTATAGTCTACATAAATAGACACACATGCATGTATATTTAAGAAAAAATATTATTTATATATAAAATATTTATATTTATGTATAATATAAATTATATATAAATCTATTTACAGTATAAACATGAACATTTTTCATAAATATACACAAGCATGTGTGTCTATTTATATATATATATATATATATATATATATATATAATAATTATACACAGTGCACCCACATATATTATATAAACACAAACCTTTATTTGGATGTGATTAATTGCGATTAATCGTTTGACAGCCCTTATATATTGTATTATATATATATAAGGTTTGTATTATACTTTATAAATATATAAGGTTTGTATTATATAATAAGTATTTTGGGGAATTTAAATGTAATATTTTTAATCCTAGAATGTGCACAACAGAAAATGTATATATTAAAATAATTGAAATATATCCTATTAAAGTCATCATGAAATCAAAATCGACTATTCCTATTTTCTATGGAATATTCAATCAAAAAAATAAGAATAAAATTTAGATGTTCTAAAAATTAAATTTAAGAAGCCATCGAAAGATTTAGAACATTCTTAAAAATATTCTTTCTAATCTCAAAAAATCGCACCAAAAACTTTTAATCTCAAATGTTCAAATGTTCTCTATTATTATTATTATTAGTATTTTAATTTTGAAAATACCTGGCCACAGTCTGTTTTATGGAAAATTTTTATGCTCAAGCCTCTTGCCTTTGGTTGGAGCATATCATGTTTTTCAATCAGGGAAGAAAGTGGGTCAAACCATAAGATCACACCTGTGTATCTTCACGAGCGGTGGACTTTGGTCCTTTTTTTGCTCCAAAAACAATGGATGATGATGAAACGAGCTCTTCTCAGGCCACCCTTGTCTCCATAAGTATTTGCCCTATCTCTGCTCAGAGTTAGTGCATCCAAGATTAGGTCATGCAGTGGTTGCCATCCAAAAGAATGACTATAATATGATGTTTGGTCTTTTTTGCAGGGAATTTATGATGTTTAATGTGAAGCATTGCATTAGCTCAGTGAGAGAGAAAAATGAAAAACTGCTCTTAGTAGTAATGAACACCAAGCAACGTTTTAGCTCATATATGATCCTCCACGCTTTACAGCACCAGTTCCCATCATTCTTAAACACACAGGAATCCCATGAGTTTCCAACGGCTTACTCAAGCGCTGACATGCTGCACACTTGGCCAAAGCATCAATGAATATGTTATGTATATGCATGCTTATTCTCATACACGCAAGCCCTCATTACGTTGGCCTCTAGGATTTGAGAAATGCCTCTTTATATCCAACTCACCAAGGAAAGGGAGTCCACCTAATTGGCAAGGAAAAATGCCCTACTACAGCCTGAAAGTATGCAGTCATTTTGAGCTTTTGAGATGGATTTAAGCCATCACACCACCATCCCTCCCTGCAGTTGTGAAGTAGGCTGCCTACCTGTCAGTTGTACTTTCCGCTTTTGACAGTGATGAAGGGGTTGAAGAGTTGATCATTTCTCCAGGACAAATTCCACTGGAAATACCAACATTTAAATCTAATGCAAGCTCACAAAGTACATTACCATACGCTGTTTTTTTTGTAAAGCTTTGGTTTCAAAAATGTGACTATTACAGCTCAAAATCTTTGAATTGAGCAGGCATTATTTTTGGATGAAGAAATGATAAACGCTTGCAAAAACAAATAGAACAACCAACAAAAAATGACTTGATTATTCAATTCACTTCTAATTTATTTATACAGCGCTTTTCACAATACATATTGTTTCAAAGCAGCTTTACTGAAAGTGCATTTCAGAAATGTACATAGAAAAATATTAATTTAGGACATAACATATCGCCAGTCGTCTCATCGCAGGTGTTCAGGCTGAAGTCTCCGTGAGAGGCTGGATACAAACTGGAGCTGACGAACGCTATTTACCTCGGTACTAGCCGAGATAACAGCAGAAAAGTAGATAGGAAATAATTAGCATAGCTGCTGTTCATAGTATTAATGTATTCGATCTGATTCAACAGTGGTATAAAAGGTAAGCATTATGTGAATGATTGGCTAAAGAGATGCGTCTTTAAACTAGTTTTAAACTGGGACAGCGAGCGTGAGCCTCGAACAATATCAGGAAGGCTATTCCAGAGTTTAGGAGCTAAATGTGAGAACGCCCTCCCTCCTTTAGTGGACTTAGATATGGAATGACCAGAAGCCTTAAATTTAGTGATCTTAAAGAGCATGCGATGGATTGTAGGGTGATGGAAGGTCCATTAAATACACAAAATGTACAAATCTGCTCAAACCAAATGATAAGAATAACTTGGATAGAAAGCAGGTTACCTGCTACTTGCATGTTTTTGCACTAAAAATTGTGCAGAAAACTTTTTAGGACACATTCTTTATAGTCTTGAATCAGGATAATGCATGCTTGAGTCACCATGGTGATTGAAGTGAAATTGGCAGCTCTGGAATGCTGAGTCCTATAGGTCTCCTCCTGATGGGCCCCTGAGAGGCTCCTGTGGCCCTTCCCCACCTTGATCTACCCTGATCTTCTCACAGGAGAAGATTATGATCTGAAGACTTTACCCCCATGTTCTCCGTTCTCAGGTCAAGTCTGACTCACCGGTGCATGTTTTGCCCAAGAATTTTAATACACACGAGGAATGGGCACAGACAGACACGCACAGGAGATGAGATGAGTCGACCCAAAAATAGCTTCAGGAGCTCATTAGGACCAAAATGTAATGACAAACACACATTAAGACGCAGACAGTATACTCCATTTAGTGCTTACTCAAAGATCTATAACCACCACCTCAAGTAAGTTCCAGTCATTAATGAAAGCATGTTGGTTTTTAACAAGACCCCCTTAAAGGCAATCAACCTTTTTATGACAGGAAGAGCATGTTTCAGTCCTCTTTTTTTCTAGCCCAGACAAATAAAAACTCATCACAAGACACTGTAATTCACTCATCTCACATGCAAGACCACTAATTTTGATGAATTGTCTGTAAGTTTGCGAGCTCAGTTTTAAAATCAAACATAGCACTTTGTGAACAAACACTTTTTCTCCTTTTCTTCGTTTCTATGTGTTTGTGTTTTTAATGTGGTTTGAATCAGGGGTATTGTATTGTATTATAAAACGAAAACCATAAAAAAATATTTTTTAATTTAATTTTTAATTTTTAGTTTCCAAAATCTGATTTTAGTTTAACTAGATATACTAAAATAACTAGAACTGAAATCAAAAATAAAGGAAACCCATATAGATGTTAAAAATAATGTTAAAAACACATAGCAAAATTACTAAAACTAAAATAAATAAAATAATAATTTAAGCTGTTAATAAAAACTATAATACTATCGTAATAACACTGGATTGAATTTTAATTATATATATATGTGTGTGTGTGTGTGTGTATTATAATATACTGTATATATTTTAGGAGCATCGGTCACAAAACCACACAAAACATCCATCTTGTATTTTGGCCTCTGTCTTATGTCTTTTTTCTCTTCTGTCCTTGACTCCATAGCTCCTCATTTATTCTCAACTTTCCACACGCCGATTCCGATCGACATGCGACACCATGAGGGGAGGTACCATTACGAGCCACACCCTCTGCACTCCATGCATGGGTAAGTTTGCTTTGCACTTCGACATTCATTTTCCTCCGTCTGCACTGATGGAATCATCATTAATCAAGTCTCAAAGGAAAAAAATAACCTGTTGAGTCGTCTTCCATATAAAGCACACAGATTCAAGACATGCTGTGGTCAGGTCACACCCAGTACAGCAGTTTGTCTTCTGCGTGAAAGATTGTTCAGCTCTAGTCGGAGATGTGCAACACATGGAGAACAAATGTAGTGAGAAACAAATGCCAATGTTTCAAGTCACAGACAGAATATTAACATCTCTCATCCTCGTAATATTTCTTTGTTTTGGACAGCATCTGTGAGTCTGGCATTTACTGAAACCATTTTGAAAGGTTTTGACGTTTAAACCTGGGAATAATAAGAAAGTCTTGGGTTTAAATTAGGGCTGTCAAACGAAAAAATATTATATATATATATATATATATATATATTTATAGAATTATATATAAATCTGTATGCAGTATATACATGAAAATATTTCTTCAATATTTACAAGCATGTGTGTATTTATATATATAATAAAATTATACACGGTGCACCCACATATATTATGTAAATACAAACTTCTATTTTGGATGCGATTAATCGCGATTAATCATTTGACAGCCCTAGTTTAAATATATTAAAAGCAAATGAGACAAAACAAATTATAAGACATTTATTTATCAGGTTAAGCATTCACTCAAGTTATGTTAAAATAAAAAATAATGAATTACAAAATAGGAGCATTTTCTCATAAATGAAGACTGACACACAATCTGTGCATTTGCATTGAAAATCCCAGATTTGATAGCGGTACATACTGTAAGTCCAGCGACACTAAAACAATTTATCACAGGATAGAAATGCTGGAGAAAGAGAATTCCTGGCCTCTCTCTTTCTGTGCTCTGGCTTCTTTGATTAATGTGACTTGGCCTTGACAGAGGCCCCCTAATTCATCAAGACCTTGATTTAGCTGTCCTTTTCACTGCCTGTGCCCAATTCACCTAATTACATGTATTGCTCAGCAAATTAAGCACAATGTTATCTTTTGGAGTAGTAGTGGTCTGATTTAGTGATCGGATCCTATAGAATGATTCATGATACATAGGTTTGATGCTCACCCTTAATATTTACATCTTCGCCATATGTAAGAGTAGTTGTTAGAGGAAGTTCACACTTATAGTTCGGTTCACTTGGTTCGTTTGGTCCGGACCACAAAAAAAAAAAACATTTTAGTCCTGGTCCTCTTAGCATCCACGATGGCATTTTAGCACTGAACCTAAAGGCAAAGGGATATGTTCATAACCTGATTGGACAGCTTTTATTACGTAGACTTCACTTCAGAACTTACCGAACATCTTTTGCATTTATAAATGCACTCGTTTTATGTGCATAGCCTACATACATGCTCTAATAAGAACTTGTGAAGAGCTTATAAAATGTGTAAAGTAGTCACAAAAAAACCCGTCAGGATTCCCTCCGTCACACACAAACAAAGATCTTTCTGTACTTCCTGTACCGAACTGTAATGGGCAACATCGCGACTCACTCATTCAAATGAACCACACTAACAGAGCACCAGGGTTTGTTTTAATCTAACCAAACATGCCAAGTGTGAACACACCCTTAGACAAACATTTGTAAATAAATACAAGAGATCTGTGCATTGGTGGTAGGGATTTTTCAATGTGTCTTTCTGTATGTCACACCAAGAGGTAATAGGAGTGAGTGAACTAATTTGTTCAAACATACTGATGAATTTAATTCATTCTGATTAATTGATTTATGATTCATGCAAACACTGATTCATTCCGAGATTCCATTACAGTGTTGCAGCGGTTTACAGTTACTCAACAATATTAACAATTAATATTGTCAAATAACACTGGCAATTGTGATATTTTGGCTTGTGGCCCGCGGTTTAAAATGGTGTTTTGATATTTTTTTAGATATGCTGCAGATATGTGATTGCCAAAAAAATCTTCCAAAGCAATCAAATCTCTCCACACACGCATGAATCAGAATAGTTGACAATGAATGTCTAAATGTTTGTGGAGTATTTCAACATGTAAACAAAGCAATTAGCATCCAGAATCTAGCTTTCCTTCCCACAAACCTCAATGACTGCAGAGTGAATAAGAAAAACGCATGGGAAAACAGTTTCAGATTACAGTGGTATATCAAGCATCACCCAACATTTTTTTCAAACCATTAAATGTATTAAAAACAGGTTGTCTAAACTAGTACGTCTTTTTATATATTGAAGGGAAACTTTGTACCTATCTTTTGGTAAATGTGATGGTAGATAATTCGTGTTTGTAAGTTTTGGACATACAGTAATACTGCAGAGAAAGAGTGACTGGAGAGCATGCATTGAGTTTGGAAAAGGTTCCCACGGCTGCCACAGTGGCAGTTAACTGCAGTCTTTTTGGGATAAGATGTGATTCATCTAAATCAGAGCACCTGACCAGAGATATGGCATACTGATATTCTCTCTGGAGTCAGCAGGGAATACCGCAGGCTCTGATTATTTCCACAGAGCCTGCGGAATGAAATAGCATATTGTCAACATATGAGCATTTATGAAGTTCACAGGAACAATATATATGTATATATACAAATGCCTTAATTCTATGTAGCATTGATTCAACAAGGTGCTGAAAGCATTCTTTAGAAATGTTGGCCCATATTGATAGGATAGCATCTTGCAGTTGATGGAGATTTGTGGGATGCACATCCAGGGCACGAAGCTCCCGTTCCACCACATCCCAAAGATGCTCTATTGGGTTGAGATCTGGTGACTGTGGGGGCCATTTTAGTACAGTGAACTCATTGTCATGTTCAAGAAAACAATTTAAAATGATTCAAGCTTTTTGACATGGTTCATTATCCTGCTGGACGTAGCCTTCAGAGGATCGGTACATGGTGGCCATAAAGGGATGGAGATGGTCAATGCTCAGGTAGGCCATGGAATTTAAACAATGCCCAATTGGCACTAAGAGGCCTAAAGTGTGCCAAGAAATCATCCCCCACACCCCAAACACACACCACCAGCCTGCACAGTGGTAACAAGACATGATGTATCCATGTTCTCATTCTGTTTACGCCAAATTCTGACTCTACCATCTGAATGTCTCAACAGAAATCGAGACTCTACAGACCAGGCAACATTTTTCCAGTCTTCAACTGTCCAATTTTGGCGAGCTCTTGCAAAGTGTAGCCTCTTTTTTCTATTTGTAGTGAAGATGAGTGGTACCCGGTGGGGTCTTCTGCTGTTGTAGCCCATCCGCCTTAATGTAGTGCATGTTGTGGCTTCACAAATGCTTTGCTGAATACCTCGGTTGTAACGAGTGGTTATTTCAGTCAAAGTTGCTCTTCTATCAGCTTGAATCAGTCAGCCCATTCTCCTCTGACCTCTGGCATTTTCGCCCACAGGACTGCCGCATACTGGATGTTTTTCCCTTTTCACGCCATTATATGTAAACCTTAGAAATGGTTAAAAATCCCTGTACTGAACTGTAACTGAGAAGATTGTGAAATACTCAGACCAGCTCGTCTGGCACCAACAACCATGCCCTGCTCAAAATTGCTTAAATCACCTTTCTTTCCCATTCTGACATTCAGTTTGGAGTTCAAGATATTGTCTTGACCAGGACCACAGCCCTAAATGCATTGAATCAACGTCCATGTGATTGGTTGATTAGATAATTGCATTAATGAGAAATTGAACAGCTGTTCTTTCTAATAATCCTTTAGGTGTGTATGTGTAAAGGTTTTCTACAGCAGTTAGGTCATGAGGAACATTGCTAATGACTGCGGTAAGATGGTAACAGTACCTTGACGTTATTGTTGCATCAGTCGCTGACTTTTTTTTTTTTTGGATGTGTGGTAATAGAGACACTAAAAAGAATGTCAAATGGAGACGGTTATTGTGTTTTGTTACTATGGGCTGGTACCACCCATGGTGCTACGATGGAAGATTGCTAAAAATGACAGGTGGCTATTAAGAAGAAGCTCTCTAAATGCACCATGACATACCCTGTCTATGACTAAGTTCTCCTCAACAGTTCAAGTACCATCTTGTCAGAGAGAGGGCGTAACAACAAGACCTTGGCTATCATTCTTGTCAGTAGGGGCCCACTTTTTCTTATCCCCTGACAGGTAAAGTTGTAAATAATGGCTTATTGAGGGTTCAAACACCCAGAGCAGTTTTCCTGATTTATTAATGTGTTGACATGTTGTCTTGTCGATTTTGACTGTCTGGCGAACATTGAGAAATGTGGGAATGTACCCAAAACCGGGTTACTATGCGTTTATGTATATTTAAGTGTCGTCTCTCACTGTTGTTGACATACTTTCTCATAGTAGTTCAATTATGGCAGGCAAGACTTACAAACCACTGTAAATATTACTCCAAATCTTTAATTATGTAAGGCTGAGAATGCATAATGACATTATGCTTAAAGTCAACATGAAATCAAAATTAATCCCGTTTACTTTTTTTAATGCACATTGCTGGACTTCTTGTGCATGATTTGATTTGCAGAAGCAAAGAGGGTTGCAATTGGTGTTGCAGTTGGCTTTAAGCTTCAGTCGGGGGTTTTAAATGTAAAAAAAAAAAAATAGTGTAAAGAATCAGTACATTAAGAAAGAATACTCAGTTTGGGACACTGAAACCAATGGTCACAATATTTACAATACAACCATCATGACATTTTCTGTGGTGATGCCATCTGTTTGCTTACTCTTGTGAGTGGTCAAGATGACAACCAATATGTGCTTATAGCCACATACAGATAACACACCTTTGCTGGCAGTTTGTAAATTCAAAGCACTATTGCTGGCGAATATTAATTTTGAGCATTTGCTTCACCCCCACCCCCCTCTACAAATGGGGGGGAGGGTTTGGTGGTTTGTGTATGGCGAGTCTGTTTTCTTTCAGCTCCTCAAGAACAGAGACGTCTTTATGGCTATCCTTTCAAGGAGGCTTATGGCAGAAA